GATTATGGTTCATGATAGCAATCCCTCACGTGAAATCATGACATCTTATCCCCATGTGAAGATCAAGGATCCCCAGTTGAAGTCATGATATCATACTCTCCAGTGAAGTCGTATCCTATCCCCATGTGGAAGTCATGGGATTTTCTCCCCAGGGAAGTTATAACTTTGAAACAGGATTTGGTTCTACCATCAACTTTTCCTATACCCCGATGGATGTACTGTTGCAGAGGTCGCTAGGGTACTCCTGTCGAGATGTTTATTTCATCTCATGTCTCCTCTCTCATATGTTTTGTCAGCATATGCATGAGCCTAAGCATTGCATTACTCATCGCATGACATTTTCATACACGTTAACATACACATTAGTATACACTTTGGCATGCGCATTAGCATCTACATTGTTTTGCTATCCGTGGCATCCATTGTCGTTACCGCCGAGTAACTGGGTTTTTCCGCTCTCTCCAAGTAGATCGTCAGCCCTAAGCATAAAATACTTGTTTGTTCCAAGTTTCCCCACAGAGTTCAACCCTCGTGGACGATGGTTATTTCCGTTATCTTTCCATGATAGGATAAGATAATCCCCATGCGACCGTTCTCACCAGAGAAGCCTATCACCATTATATCATCTTCATTACAATTTTTCATTACACTCTACAATTGATCTTCTTGTACAAGGAGCTCAGTACAACCTTCATTACAATTTACACTGTTCTTTCATTACAACCTTCATTACAATCTTCATTAAAATTTGCATTACTTGTTACCACCTCTACAAGCAGCTCTCACTCGAGAAGCTTATCCGTGAAATTCGTACAAATAAGCGGTAGTTCTCATCTGAGAAGCTTACCCTATCTTCGTTATGACTCGCAGTAAATGACTATCTCCATCGAGCAGCTGGGCTTCCATTTTCCTTTTCATTTTGAGGTGCGGGGAGGTTTTTGAACTGAATCATATTCAGGAGAGCACAGATCTTGAAGTATGAAGAAGTTCGTTTACCCTTTAGTAAAAGAAGGAGCAAAATCATATTCAGGAGAGAACAAATCTTGAAGTATGAAGAAGTTTGTTTACCCTTTAGTAAAAGAAGGAGCATAATCATATTCAGGAGAGCACAAAATTTTGAAGTATGAGGAAGTTCATTTTATCCTTTAGTAAAAGAAGGAGCAGAATCATATGCAGGAGAGCACAAAATCTTGAAGTATGAGGAAGTTCATTTTATCCTTTAGTAAAACAAGGAACAAAATCATATTCAGGAGAGCACAAAATCTTGAAGTTGAGAAAGTTCATTTTATCCTTTAGTAAAAGAAGGAGCTGAATTGTATTCCGGAGAGCACAAAATCTTGAAGTATGAGGAAGTTCATTTTACCCGATGAGCGACAGTCCCTCCAGTGGAGCTTATCAATCAATTATTCATCTATTACCCACAGATAAGCAACCGTCTCTTTATTTGAGAGCTTATCCAGTTAGACATATAAGTCTCTTCCGACGATAAGTGGCTGTTCTCTCTCGAGAAAGCTTATCAGGGCGTTTCCCATTTAAGACCATTTATTTTGGCATACAGCCGGTTTTACCCTATATATCTCTACGGATTCCTAAATTGTGTTTGATCCTGTCATGAGGGAAAGTTTACAGAAGCTCGGATGTTATTCTTTGCTCAATGCTCCAGCATTCTATTAATCGATCCTACAGTCGTGCAGATCCAGTTTTACTTTTAGATATTCCCCAGTGGAGGCCGTCTCATTGGTGCCATCTCCGTTGAGGATCCCGTTCTTACCATTCCTTCTCTGAAAGTGGTAATTGGTCGTGTTCGTACCAGTTGACCATCATCGTTAGAATTCCCAGTGTCGTGCTGTTTCTCAGTGCGTCGTATTCCTCAGTGTGGTTCGTTCGTAGCATCTATCCCTTATGTCATCGTGTCGTATGCATCCTTGCATTTATCATTCCATAATCCGCATCATACTAGATTCATGGCATTGTCAGCATTACAATCTGTTGTTTTGTCCATAGCATTGCATATCACTGCATCTAAGGGCAAAATTTTCGGTTATCTATATTTAAATCCCTTTCACCATGATTTCTTGAGCCTACGTCGCTCCAATCATCCGGTGAAGCTATTTAAATAGGGGCAACTGTAATACCCCAAATTTTTCCCTAAGATTAGTCGTTTCATCTTGCATTCCATTTCATTTTGCATTGTGTTTAGACTAACCACTAACGGGTTGTGCAGTTGTTTGATTGTTGCAAGAAAATATCATGTGGCGCGCTCTTTTAGTTTACAGGGTTTCTAGTTCCACTTTATTTTGAATGAATAAAATAACACAATTGACAAGAGACCGTGTGTAAGGAGTTGTGAGAGTGAAAGGTCGAGAGTTTGAATCCCACCTTCTTCACTTTTTGTTTTGGTTCTTTTATTTTTATTCTAACTTTCTATTTTCATAAAAAAAAGTTAACAAAAATAGTTTTTTTTTATTATTTAATTATTATTTTCGTATTTTATTTAAATTATTTTAAAAAATATATTATTTTTTCACTTTTTCTTTTTATAATATTTTTAATGTTTAGTAAATAAATAGGGTTTTAAGTTTGTTTTAATTTGTTTAAATTATATTTAGTTTTGACTAATTATTTAAGTTGGGCTTTAAAGTGGGCATTAGGTTAGAGTTAACCCTAATTTGTTACCTATATAAACATGAGTTGCATTTGATAAAAGAGGAAGGAGACAAAAGAGAAAAACGGCGGCCGTTCTCACGACTTATCAGAAGAGGAGAGATTTTTGAAAAAAACCATCATCTTTCATCATCGATGAACTCCATCGTAGAAAAGCCACTTCAAACTCGTGAAAGGTGAGTAACTCTTGTTTCTAACGAATGTTTTCTTTGATATTTTTTTTGCAGGAAAAGAAGAAAGGATCGTGGTCATGCAAAGAAGAAGAAAAAGCTTCAACAGGCAACAATGGCAGCGGCGCCGCATGCAGCAGTAACCATAACCCAACCCAATTTTTATTTTCCCTTTTGTTGTTTTAGTAGTACATTTATTTTTAATTGAAAATTTTGTTTTTAAAAATAAGTGAAAGTTCTACTTTTATAAAACAAATTAAAAACTTTTTCTTAAAAGCTTTTCTAAAATAAAAACTTTTTTAGATAATAAAATAAAAACCTTTTTTTTAAAATACAAATTAAAACTTTGTTTTTTTTAAGTATAAAACTTTTTTTAAAAAATTGACAAACATTTTTAAAAAAATTAAAGTTAAAACTTTCTTCCTCACAAAATAATAATTAAATTTTGTTTTTTCTAAAATATTAAAATTAGAGTTTTGTTAAAATTTAAAACTAAAATAAATTTTTAAAACTTAAACTAAACCTTTTTTAAATTAAGATTAAAATTCTTTTCTTCAAAATTAAAACTAAAATCCTTTTTCAAAACTAATAAAACAATAATAAAAATTCCAAATTGCAGTTTGTCTTTCTTTCAATACTAACTGTTCCATTTGTTGCCATATTTCTATCTAACCCTTCTCACAAATGTTCTTTGTTTTTCTCCTCAGACTATACTTAAATTCTGATTAGTTTATTCAATTTATGTTGGTCCATGGATGTAATTTACGCGAGGCCATGGTCGCGGTTTTATTTTATTTTCCTTTTTTTTGGGTTTGTAATTTACGCGAGTGATCGTCGCGACGCTTTATTTACTTTCCGCACTTTAATTTCTGCCATATAATATTTTTCCATGTTTGCATGTTTTACCGTTAATTTTCTCCTCCGAAGGAATTAGGTTTAACCGTTGACCGCCGAGTCATTAACCCTAATTCTTGACCGTTTCCAAAACCCTAATAGCCTAGGCGTCCCCCTGTGGACGAAAATACCCTTTACCCTAACTTTTAGGTCAAAGAGCCGCCGTGCTCTGTTTAAGGTTTCCCGCCGTGGAATCCCTAATTTTAACCCTAATTTCAATTCAATTTTTCAACATAGAAATAAGAGTTTAGAAACTCCACGTAAGCGTTTCCTTAAGAAATGCTTATTCCCCATTGAAACCTTGATCACAGTCAAGATGTTTCTAACCTCCCTTTGAGGGGAACTACGATTACTCTGATTCCATCCTATCCAGGATACGTAGGCACAAGATGCGAGTCTTGCCGAGTAAACTTAGGACTAACCCTTAGGTCTTTAGGTCACTCTATTCCTTAGCTCAATATATATATTAAAGCAGATAATAAATAAAAAAGCATACAATAAACAAAAGGTTCCTGTAGAGTACTACAGAAGTTTAGGGTGCTAGTACCTTCCCTAAGCTTAACCAACCCCTTACCTAGGTCTCTCCCCGCATTGTGTTTACGATGCAAAAATAGGTTTTCCCTCTTTTGACCTTTTCCTTCGGATAAATCAAAGAGCGGTTGTGAATTAAGAATTGTGATTCAAACTAATTAATAGTTTGATATCCTATTTCCACCACAACAACTTGGAAATCACTAATGTCCATAGATGAAGACCCTTTGAAAGAATTTCCAGCCAGCTGAGAAATAACACATATAAACGAGCAAGTGGTTCTCCAAGGAATAAACTTGTTCTGAAATCGGGCTTGATTACAAGCACACCAAATGTCGTTGACCACAACAATAATAGAAACACAATACACCACCCTACATTACAAAGCACCAGACTTGGACATTGCAAGGAAACAATCATGCAGATCCGAGATGGAATAATTAAGGTCAAGCATATAGCACAACCATTTTCAAATCCTCCGAGAATAGTCACATTGGAATAAAAGGTGAGAAATAGTTTCTTCACTATGAAAACAAAGATTGGAAATTGAAGGACCTGACATTCCACAAATCCTAAGAACGTCATTAGTTGGGTCACGATTCTTTGTAACTCTCCAAAAAAGAATAGAATGAGATGGAGGAACATTTGGGTGCCAAATTAGATTACCCCAAACACTACTTGTACTGCCAACTTTACGGTGAGTATATGGATCCTTGACATTTTGCCGCTATCAGATTTTGCCTAAACAAGTTTATCTTCACTCAAATAGTTCATAAAAATATTGGAGACCAAATTAGGAAGGTCGGGGTAGAGTCGGATCAGACCTGAAGGCAAGTTGAAAGAATTATCGCACAAAATGGAACTCAAATCTGCCTTCAGCAGCGGCCACTGAACAACAGGAACTTGAAGCATGGAAACTAGGGGTTTCCCACACCAGTTATCACACCAGACATTGATTTTGTTGCCTTTACCTATACTCCACATAGAATTTTGCATTAAATCTTCTAAAACCTCTTTACAACCTGTCCAAACAGAAGATAACACATGTGATTTATGCAACAAATCATTCATGAACACTCGAGCTTTAACAATCGTAGCCCAAGTGTCGACCTCAATCATAACTCACCAACACTAAACCAAACGATTAACATCATTTGTTACACGAAGGGAACAAATACCCAACCCTCCATCCTTAAGGTCTTGACAGCAAGATTCCCAAACCACCGTAGCCATCTTCCTTTTCTTAATATCACCACTCCATATAAAATTATTGCTCAAAGATTCAATCTGATTAATTAAACTAACCGGTCAAGAGAAAATGCGGAAAGAGTATAACAACATACTGTGAATAACCGAGTTAACCAATTGAACTCGTCCAGAAATTGATAAAAAGTTATCCTTCCAAGCAGCTAATTTGATGCGAATTTTATTGACAGCCGACTGAAAATATGAGGCTTTAGGTCTTCCCTTGAAGATGGGAATCCTGAGATAAAGGAAAGGAAGAAACTCCATCTTTTAAACCCGATTTTGCTAATTAAGAACTCATGCCTTACAACAACCATTAAACTTGCAAACATAATGGACTTGGTCGGGTTACAGATCTAACCAGAACACAATGCGTAACGATAAAAGGTATTTGAATCCGACCAAAAATCATTCATAATTATTCTTTAAGGTGGAAAGGAGGAAAATTTGAGTATTTGTATTGTGCTATTTTATAAAAGATATGGTACAACATTTTAATTAGTTGAATATTAGTAGTGTCTATATCCTAATTAATTAAGGATGCATGCTTCTTTGTTTTGTGGTTTTATTTATGATAAAACGGAGACTTACAAAGGTCCTTATGTTATTTAATCGTAGAGTGTTTAGACTTATAAAGAATAAAATAAAAGATTATATAGTTCAAAAGAATTATCAACTTCACAAACTTTAAATCTAATAAAAATTACCGCAGGGTGGTGGTAGCTCAAATTATATATATATATATATATATATATATATATATATATATATATATATATATATATATATATATATATATATATATATATATATATATATATATATATATATATATATATATTACAATTTAAATTACTTATTATTTAATTTATTAAATAATTGAACACTACTCTTTAGATTCTAGTGTTGAGAAAAATTTATTATAATACTTTGTTTGCTTCTATAGAAAGACTATTGAGAATTTAGGATAAAGGATGGGTTGAGAAAAAAAAGGTAAAGATAACATGTTCCTATGACTCTTGTCTTTAGTTTTTTGTTAAAATTATTCATGAATTTTTTTTAAGTATATTTAGAGCCAATTTATTTTAATTTTAAAAAATAGATATTTTTCTTTGTATTTTAAAAAAGATTTTTATAATTTTCTATTAAATATCAAAAAAATTATTAAACTCAATTTTTATAAATTAAAAAACTAATTAAAATCTAATAATATAAACATATATTATTGAAGTTTAAAATATAGTAAAAAATATGTAAATTAAAAATAATTTTTATGAAAAGTTATTCAAAATAATTTAAATTTAAGTGATTTTTTAAAATTTTAATATCTGAACAAATTATAATAAAATATTTAAAAAAAATATTTAAATAAAATTTTCATTTAAATTTTTGTAAAATAAAATAAACAAAAATATATAATACTATAAAAATCATTTTAAGAAAAATATTGAATTGAGTGTACAAGATTGATTCCTGAGTAATTGCAAAGCACAAATGCTTGAGAAAATGAGGAAAGTAGAAGAAGTGTTGATAGTAATTCTTAGCTATCAATTATTATTCTTTTAGGCTAAAGAATAAAATTGTGATCATCATCTTGTTCGCTCATATGTCGCTCTCGTGACTGTAAGAATATGATGCATAGTGGTTTTTCTTTTGTTTTGCTTCTCCATTTTTGTGAAAGTGTTTAATTGGAAAAATGCTAATAAAAATAAATGAATTTAGACATTGGTTATGGACCATAGATTAGGCATTGGTAAAAGACTTTTTCTCAAAAAAGAATTAATATTCTTAAGGATTTAGAATTGAGTTCGAATCAAGGACATTTAAAGAAATTTTTACCATATCATTCAAGCGGTTTTGACACAAGTGTTTTTAACATAGTATAAAATATTACATTTTAACTTGTAATTTTTATTTGTAATATTTACTCAAATATTTTATTTTTAATTATTATTGTTATTTGTCCTTTTTGTTTTTATTTTGTGAAAACATTAATATAAATCTCAATTTAGTAATTATATATCCAAAAGTAATTTTACTTTAATATATTGAAATATAAATTAATTTGTATTCAATTCACTTTTAATTAAAATCAATTCTTAAAAATTAAATTTTGTCATAATCAAATCTTACCGTAGAATCACGTATACTAAATTTATTAGAATATATTAATGTAATTATGATGTTGATTATTTTTCTGTATTTTAAAGAATAAATCTTTTTAAAATTCTCTGGGTTAAATTAGAGGTGCTCAAAATCCATCGTGAATAGAAAGATGACAAACCCATCATGGATTGAAAGTTACAATTAGTTTATTATTATTATTATTATTATTATTATTGTTATTATTATTATTATTATTATTGTTATTATTATTATTATTATTATTATTATTATTATTATTATTATTATTATTATTATTATTATTATTATTATTATTATTATTATTATTATTTATTATTATTATTATTATTATTATTATTATTATTATTTATTATTATTATTATTATTATTATTATTATTATTATTATTATTATTTATTATTATTATTATTATTATTATTATTATTTTATTATTATTATTATTATTATTATTATTATTATTCTTTTATTATTATTCTTTTATTATTATTACTATTATTATATTATTATTATTATTATTATTATTATTCTTTTATTATTATTACTATTATTATATTATTATTATTATTATTATTATTTTAATTTAATTTAATTATTATTATTATTTTTTATTTTTTGTTTTTTATTTTTTTCGAAAAAAGAAATATATTACTCAGCCAAAAACAATACAATCCACGATGATCAAACGATCCAGCCAACCCAACAAACAAAGAGAAAAAATCAATTCATCAAGGCAACATTAGTACACTAATATGTTTTCCGGGGGTTTCAACCACACCCTTTGTAAAATAGTTTCTTCATTATTTTAGCTCATCTTTCGCTCGTTTTTCCTTGATTCTTCGATTAATAAGATGCAATAACAGATTGACATCATAATGAAACCAAATAATAAAACCTGAATTGATAGATTTAATCCAAATTGCTCCAATGGAGACTTGAGTACAAAGACAATGGAAAATACGTAGAAACTTTGCAAAATAAAAAAACTAGGCACCTTAAACGCATAACCAATTATGATTTATATAGAAAAACCTAAACTTGACTCAATATCTTGTTGTTCAATAATAATTACACCAGAATATCTCAAATCAATTCATGCCTAAAAGCCAAAAACATGAGAATCCGTCTTAAAATGTATCTCGCCCTCCTACTATGGCGAGTAGCAGCTACTACGGGTGGTCGTAACAAGCCTCTTATTCATGTGCTATAACATCAAAGTGGGGGATTCCTGGGTGCCTTGTTGCTACAACCCCTAGTAGACCTCTATATTTTATACGGGGAATTTTTGAGTTTTGACTTTGTTCCGTGCTTTGCTCGTTTTCGATCCCTTTTCACCACGAAAACTAATTAGACCCTGAAAACAGTAAAAAGCACTCAACCAAAGAATAAAATACAATAAATGAAAATAAATCGATCAAAAAGTGACGAAATGCTAAGTAAAAACGACTAGAAATAACAATACGAAAACCAGTTATCAATATGCCATCAAAGGAGTAACCAAAAGGTGTCGGCTAACCGGGTATGTCAAGGGGGAAATCAAGATAGAGAGGAATCGCCTAAAGGTAAGTCTCCCGTGAAAACTGAATAAGTTGAAATAAGTATAGAAATCAAGGAGGGAGGCAAAGGTAAATGCCCTTACATAGCCACCATAATCGAGGGAGCACCCCGAGCAAACCTCCCCTCCAAAGGAATCCTGAATAGGAAGATCTCAGAAATAATGGTCATTTATCTCAAGAAAAAGAGTACTTCATTGAAAATCCCCGACCGAACTTTGTTGGGATTCCAAGACTCGAAGATGGTCGGAGGCATTTCCTATGATACTTTCCTCCTTGTAATCATTTCTATGGTTGGCCAATTGGACGTGTCACAAATCCTAATTAATGATGGTAGCTTTGGTGACATCATATATTTAGAGTTTTTCAAGGAAATAGGGCTGGACAGAAACAATTTGTTGCCGTACGATGGTTATAATCTTTAGACGTTCAACAAAACCGCTACCCGCCCCGAGGGATACAAGGAACTAATAGTTTTCGTAGGTGATGGAAAGGGCATCAACATGGTAAATTATTAATTTCTTGTTGTTTCTTGTAGGAGTTTTTACAACTATTTCTTGGGATGACCCCTCGCAACCACGTTGGACGTTGTTTCCTCCCATTGCACCTCAAGCTTAAACATCATAACATGCAAGGAGAACCGACCAACATTAAAACTAACCTAGAGGGAGAAAAGATAATATACTAAGATCTCTATAAGGATCAAGGAGAAGGAATACCCATGGATATCAATGTCGCTTCTCTCATTGGGCTACTCAATAGGATGGGCATTCATCCTCTAAAAAGTGGCTAAATCGGACAGAAAGAAGGAAAAAGTAAGCGGCAGTTGGCCTGCCAGGTTGTGCTCTCTATAACACCCCATTTTTAAAAATTAATATTCCAAAAGTGAGAGACATAATAGTTTTACCTAAACACAAAATTAGAAAAGTTGGGAGCGGCTGATCGTGGGAATCGAAATTTGCACAAGACTTTGGGAACCGATCGTAGGAAAAGGAAAAGCCTTAATTTGAGGTAAAGCGGGGAACTTTTTTACTGATGGGTGATCATAGGCAACTTGGGTGGTGAAGGATCCTTAACCTCCTATCAGTGTTAGGGTTTATACTCTATTTTTCCTTTTGTAACATGTTTGGCCAAATAGGGTTTCAGCAAAACCCTATTGGCATTGATCAATAAATGTTTA